TCAGGGCCTTTCAAAGGTTTCCTGGTGTTTTTCAAAGTCGTGTTTGACTTTCTGCCTTTCCGTGTCGTTTCTGGGAGGCTTAGAACTTAAACTTCACTGTTGGAAATTGTTTATTTTGAAGCACAGGCTTTTTCTTTACAACTTTTGCACAATAATGCAGCAGGCCAGTGTTTTTTAAATCCTCTACTCCTGTGACGATGTCTGCACCGTCTCTGGGGCATGCCGCCCTGTTTGTTTTGTTTTGTTAGAGTTATAATCTCAGTGCACATTTGCACATGCAACACCTGCCATACACGAGACAGCTGTTCTACATCACTGATACAGACTCGCACGCAGTTTTGTACGCTTTCCAAGGTTGTGTGAGGAAATTGATAGCGGCTCTTTTCTTCTCATGATTATTGTTTTTCATCTGTCAGTGTTTGAGCTGACTCTACTTTTATCTTCATATTTACTCAAATCCTCGAGGTTTCCGTACTAATCACACATATGACGTTTTTACAGACTCACACATTTGGGCTTGTGTGAGTCTCTCTCGTTTTACGTCTTGATTATGCAGAAACAAACATAAAAGGTTTGCAAACTTTCAAGGTCTGCATTAGACACCACGAGAGGATTGGTCAGAAAGTTTGGCGACTCTAAGACTTTGTTAGTTTTGCTACTCGAGCGGTTTAATCGCAGCAACAGAATTGTCAAATCAAACAATGTCAGGTGTGTTTTGTAGTACTTTAGAAATTGATTTAAAAGATATTAAAAGATATAACTTAGTTTATTTTCTGTGTGATCAGTCCACGGTTGTCCTGCGTCTCTCTCCAGGTACGTGTTGGTCACAGTGGGTCCAGTGTTCACAGAAGAAATGTGGAGGTTGGCCTGCTGCGCTCTCCAGGACGCGTTCTCTGCCACGTTAGAGCCGGTCAAGGTACGTGATGAAATGCAGACGTCAGGCGGTACAGCACCTGGATACAAGTGACCTGGACAGCCCGCTGCAGTAAACCACATAATCCATCCCCAGTTTGAAGCCGCTTGTCCAGACAGAAGTAATCTGAAAGCAGTTAATACCATCACAGTGCTGGGACTCAATAACCCCATTTAACCTCGGGTGTGCGTTATATACTCGCCATCACGGTCCTGCAGCTGATCACTCTTTGTCTCCTCGCAGCAGGAAGGAAACTGCTCTCCTTTCCTTTTTGGCGTCAGCCATCCTTGACTGAGAGGTTCAGTTAGATATTATCTAGTTTTTGGATTCTGCAGCTCTTTTGTCTGAATTACCTCAAACGTAGTGTTTTATTTGGATCCGTCACTTTTAGCTGTTCTTCTTTATCAGTACTGCACGATGAGGCACCATTCAAACCACAAATGTTCCCAGCTTTCATGGATGAATATAGTCAGAACTGATTTCTTTCTAAATCTTCTTTTATTTTCTTTTCAAGACTAATTTTACTTATAATTTGAATTAAGTACAGTGTGGCTTTTATGTGCAATATAAATCCTTTTTTTAAGCGTTGACTTCGGCAAACGAAACCTAATCCTTATCGATGTCATGCTGGGGCTCGGTGCAGCTGCTTGGTTCATCTTCTGTCTGAAATCAGCTGATTTAGCTTCCTTCCTCTTACCTTTAAGTCGTCTTTCTCCTGCGGGTGAGTGAAGCTGCTGCTTTGGACCCGAGCTCACCACATTAGTGATTTCTGTGCTTCTTTACACATCGAGCTGAGCGTGTGTGGGTGTTTGGATCCGTCTAAACCTGAGGTTTTTGCTTTCAGTGATTACTCGTACCTGCACTGATCTTATTATTTGAAACGTTTAAATATCACGTAGAAATATGACACAGAATAATGGCTCCTTTTTAACGGTCTTCTCTGTTTCACTTTCTAATAATGCAACATGTCTCTGCTCGTTCTAGCTTCTATTATTGATACGAGTTCCCTTTGTTGGAACGATATAGCTTCTTTCACCTGCTCAGTAGGAGCTCCTTGAGTCATAGCAGTCCTGTTTGGTCTGTGTAGTCTACGTCATCTCTCCAAAAATAGCCAGTGCACAAAACTAAGCAGAAGAATCGACTGAAATCTGAATGTCTCACAATCAGTTTCCTCCTTTCGCTCGTTAAATGTTCTACCAGAACATGCAGTGGTCTGTTTGAGACGATCTGCCAGCCCGCTCAGCTTTAATGAAAGATTTGTGTTCATTTGTTGATGATGGTTCGGTACCTGCTGAGTGCATGTGTGAGCCTGCAGATTTAGAGCCTCAGCGGGGAGCCGACTGCTGCTGGTCGCTTTCACTTACCGAGGGAGCCGCCGCTAACGAGTGTGCGTGAGTGTTCGGCAGAGGTGACACGGACGAGCACTTTGTTATTGGATGTCGTGTTCCTGCAGTTCTGAGCCAGCTGCCTGCCTGACATCTGCTAAGCAGCTTTAAAGATTAGAGCCACATCTGTCTGTGTGTGCGTGCGAGCCTGCATTCATGTCTTTGTGGAGACTAAAAATGGAAGTTCATTATACTTATGGGGACCAAAATCATGGTCCCCAAAAGTTTTAAAGGCATTTATGAGACTCAAAATGTGTTTTTAGTGACAGGTTTACAGTTAGGTCGTGGTTGGGTTAGGGTGAGGGGCTAAGGAAAGCATTATGTCATTTAGATGTCCCCAAAAGATATGAATACCCGACGTGTGTGTGTGTGTGTGTGTGTGTGTGTGTGTGTTAGTCAGGCTGAGATGGTGTGGAGTGGATATACTGGACAAAGGTTGTTGAATGTGCCAAACAGGAGGAAAAGGAAAAGTCATGAAGGAAGATTCAGGGATGCAGTGACAGAGGAGGATGTTGGAGGAGGAGATGGAGGCAGAGATCTGCTGTGGTGGCGCTTAAAGGCGCTTTCTATTTCTAGAAAATACAAGATAGTGAAATAAAAATGGTCCAGCTGGGGCGGGAGAGGTCTCAACAGTCGAAAATGAGAGGATAGATAGAAACAGATCTGATTGACTCGTTGTGAGGGGGTTTAACATTATCATGCTGAGCAATGCGCTTTGTGTATTTAGGTCTAATAGCCCTTTATATAACAATATTTGCTGAAGCAGAGGCATCTTAAAGCATGTTGCTAATGTTGCTGTGACCTCCTGAAATACTTCGGTGTCTATAATTCCTGATGCAAAA